TCTTAGGCTCAAGTGATCCTCCAACCTCAGCCTCTTGAACAACCAGCACTGCAGATGTTTGCTACCCTGCCTGGTAGAGCATGACTTCTTTGATTGCCCTTTGCAGAACAAGAACCTTTGCATAGGTTGGGCCCCAGCACTGGATGCGTTTTTCATCTCAAAGAATGACTAACCCGTCCTTGGTGGTACAAATGCCAAACAATACAACCAGGACCAGAGCTAAGCAGGACAGGGCAAAAATCCTATTAGCCTTGGTTATTTCATCATCTTAGCCAAATATGTGTCTTGAAAAAAGGTGAAATTATATAGTTCCATAGAGGTTTTACATACAAAAAGTATATAAAAGATTTTGGGTTATGGTTAGATTGTTACTGACAGCCTAAACCTGGGACCTGACTTGATTCCAGCTGGCTGGATTTGGGTGTCTGCCCACATAATAAATAGACAAAAGATGGTAAAATAAGTATTGAACTTGATCAACCTGGGAGGAAGCAGTTAGATTTCTTCTCTTTACCTATCCCACAGACATAATTATAATTTACAGAAACAAAGGCCAGGTGATATACCTATGTATATTTGGTTAATCTTAAGATGGAGAAAGCCAAGGAAAAAGAGGCAGGAATTACACACATGCAGATTTAGTTAGTCTGAGTTGTCCCAGAAGGAAGGAAATCCCCACTTTCATCTTTTTTGGTGTCCGTCAGGGTGAGAGGTGGAAGCCTCATGGCCCCCAGCTTCTACTCTCAGCATGAGGAAGTCATTTCCAATTTCAGATGAGGTGCCTCTGAATTCAGTCTGCTTCAAGATTACTAATTGTCAACAGTTCTCAAATGACAATGTTATCTCTCCTTGCTTGAATGCACGCCAGAGATGTGGGAAGGATTGGTGAAGGGTGAGTATCAGTTGGTGCAGAGTCAGAAGAAAGGGAGAAGGAAGCACACAAGCACAGCTTGAATGTCTTCTCATTCTGTTATGTTTTGAGAACTTGGAGACTTTGTTACCTAATCCTCAGTTTCTCAAGCAAATCAGACAAAGAATTTGACTCAGAGTTAAGTTAATGAGCTTATATGATTTACAAACACTCAAACCTGGCATCACTCACATCAGGAATCTGCTGAGAGTCTCATAATGACAATTGTTCTTACAAGCTTCCTATTCCCAGCTCACAGAGTCTGCTCTCCATCCACAACCACCCATTCACCAAAAAGCAGGGATCCAGTGCTCAGACACTTCTTGGCCTAATGAAAAATCTGGGATCATCTTTTTGGAGTTCTGGTGCTGGATGTGCTCTCTGCGGTGATATCTGCCATGAGATTGGTGGGTAGAGATTTTCAGTTCACCTGGCCATACAGGATGCAGTTCTCCTCTTTTTTCCTTTCAAATCCATTGATCATGAACATGCATTATTTTCAGAGACAGAGGCTATTTTTTGCTCTAAAATCTATGTGCTGGCTACTACAGGGATTTTTTAATAACTGCACAGGATGTATTCTGGATTGACATTACTCAGTGCATCCATCAGCTTCATTGTGGCCATGCCCACTATTTTTTTTCTAGGGGATTTCTGGCCATAAGGGTACTGACACAAAATTTTGAATGTTCTGGGAAGGTGGATGTGGCCCAAACAAGCCAAATCATCTTCCTGTATAAACCAGGGATATGAAGTGGTCACCAAAGACTCACAGGGAAAGAACCTGCAGAAGCCCAGCAATCTCACCTGACTCAATGACCAAATTTCCTGGATATTAGCTCTTTGCAAATAACTCTGCTAGGGACTAGGGGCTTAATAGTGGATAGTACACAGACCCTGCTCCAGGGAAGTTTACATTTTGGAAAGTGAAACAAAGGTGTAACCCAACAATGTTGTAGGACAGTAAAGAGAACAACAAAAAAAGAAATGTGTTCCGGGGATACTAGAAATTGTACAGGGGAGGAAGTGGCTCTGTGTGAGGAGGTGGTGTTGAAAGCCTTTACCAGATGAAGTTTTGATTGAGCTAGGTTTTGAAGGATGATCAAGAATCTTCTGGGATGGGGCTGGAGCTGAGTGGTAGCGTGCTTGCTTAGCATGTGTGAGACCCTGGATTTGATTCTCAGCACTGCATAGAAATAAATAAGGAAAGAAAAAAAGGAGGAAAAAATGGTCCATTAAATACTAAAAAAAAATTTTTAAAAAAAGTCTTCTATGAGCATGAGAGCATTCTAAGCAGAGGAAAGAGTATGAGTAGTTATTTAGATATAACCTTTTTGGGTGGAATTCAAGGATTTTGTAAAGAGAACACCCAAGGAGAAAAAAACTGATTAGAGGATATTTAATTCCAATGTTTCACTTGAGTTTCTGATAAGAAGCAATAACCTTTGGGCATAATAATAACTCTGATTGAATTTTTTATTAATAATTTTTACAAACCTCAGCTAAAAGATAAAAATGGGCATGTCTCATGACTCACTGCCAACTGCCAAGGTGGAGGGGGCACCTGGCTTCTGCAATAGGAGGTGGGGCACAGGTGTATTTTCCTACTGGCTGTACATCCAACTCCACCTTCTTTCCCAGCATATAAATATGCCAGACTGACTTCATTGACTCACAGTGGTTCACAGAAGGCAAGCTTGGAACATTCTGCCCTGTCAAAAGATAGCTCCCATAGCTGGAAGTCAAACTCAGAGGAGAAAATTTTGGAAGGAAAGTAGTGATGGAACTGATCCCAAACTTTTTCATGGAAACCTGGGTTCTCCTGGGAATCAGCCTGGTGCTCCTCTATCTGTGAGTAACTATACCAGTTTCTATCCTCTTCAAACCTCCCATTTCTGTGACTAGAAGGCTTAGTGATATGATTTGATTTGGAGGATGAACTTTGGAGTGAGTCTCAGTTTTAACCTAGATTAATCAACCAGAAGAGTTCAGTAGATGCAGATTACAAACAACTGGACACCTTCTGAAAAGTGATGCATGCTCTGCAAACTTTCAGAATTCTGGAGGTAAAGAGGAGTCTTCACAAGTTTCTGTGTCATTGTTTATCTTTGGTGTTCTATGTGAACTACAAAAGATTTGTAGGAGGCTTGTCTCCTGTGGAACAGGTGGTTCCTGCTCCTCCTCCCCATGTCCCAGCACCATTTGTAAAATGCACCAAGTGCACCCAAGGTGCTACCATAGGCTCAGACTCAGTTCTTCTCTCTGTTCTCCTTATTTTTCCTGAAATAGCCCTCTTTCCAAAAACTCAATTCCTCCACCTTGCAATATGCAACTAATGTTGAATGATGAAAGTATTGAGCAAAGACCTGGGAGAAATTTTGAACTTTTATTCCTTAAGTTAGCTTCAGTGTAGAGATTTGTTTCTTTCTTGATATGAAACCTAATGGCAGCTTCAGGAGACAGAAGTTAAAAAGCCAATTTTGTATTTTAAACATTTTCCTATGATATTCCAGTGCAGGAGCATGAATAAAACCATCTAGTAGAAGAATTCCTTTAAATAGTGGTATTTATGGCCTGAGATTGTGGCTCAGTGGTAGAGAGCTCCTCTGGCATGTGTGAGGCACTGGGTGTGATCCTCAGCATCACATAAAAATAAATAAGTAAAATAAAGGTATTGTGTCTGCCTACAACTAAAAAAAGTATTTAAAATAGTGGGATTCCTGGTTTCATGGAGCAAGTGAAGAGAGCAGTTATTTCTGATGAAGGGTAGAAGACATTGCCCCAAGGAGAGCTTTGACTTCTATCTTAAATCCACTTTTACAAGATTAGGCATTCATAATGATGTGAAAATAGAAAATATAAACCTGGTTGTGTAACAATTGAAGTAAAGGATAATATTCAGGCTTCTGTTGCATCTATTTTCCATCAGTGGCATTTTAAAATTAATGGAAATGTTTTAATTTCATTCTTTCAATAGTACAATTTTTTTGAGGTAAGTTCCTCATGTTTCTTTTGAAGGTCAAAATAGGACTCTTGGATTCTGTATTTGTAAAAACCAACCTGTTTAAAAATGACCTCACCTTTTTTGAACAATTGAAAAAATATTAATCTAATACATACATCCATGACATAGATTGCACATGTCTTTAAATATACCTGCCCAGGTATATTTAAATATACTAACTCAACAGTTTCCCAAACACCAGTGTTCTTAATCTCTTACAGCAGATGAGTAAGACAGAATGGGGACCAGGGATGCAATATAAGGCATCCAGATATGAGTTATTAAAAAGTGGGAGAATATTCCTCTCTGTTCAGAGAAGAAGGCCCAGAGTGGAGATGGCCCCCACTGGAGGCCACTAGAGGGGCCAACGTAATGGTATCAAGTCATCTTCCTGAACTGACACCAGTGAGTGAAGTGACCAGGAAGAAATCTAGGCTGAATTACTCTTTTCAAGTTCATGTTTGGAGACTTATATCAGATATTCACTGTAGCATTGGGAGCCTAATGATGGAATTAGCTACTTTGAGCTAATTATCATGACTTTTGGAGTCTCTCAGGGAATGTGAGAGAGGAGATGATGAACAGATGTAATCAGGGGCATTGAAGTTTTTGTTGTTATTTAGGGCCTACATATTATCTGCCTGGCTTCACTGTTCCCATTCTTGATCAGTGACTCATTAGCCACTATATACACACAGTCACAAACCCTTGACCTGGATTTCTCTTCCACTTTTAGATATGGGACCTATTCACATGGATATTTTAAGAAGCTGGGAATTCCAGGGCCAACACCTCTACCTTTTTTGGGAACTATTCTTAATTATCGCCAGGTGAGTTCAATTTGAGCTCCCTGTTTTGCCTCTTATGGTTGCAAACATCTGTTTAGTTACATCAGTAGAAATTCAGCTCTGTGAGGCTTCAGAAACTGTGTGAGGGCCCAATCCAAAGCACATTTTTACCCTGGGGCTCTGTTTACAACTTCTCCTGGCCTTAGGTTCACTTAAGTTGATGAGCTCAGGACTCTGGCACATCCACACTGTAAGCTGTGGACTTTATGTTCAGCAGACTGTTAGCATTCTCACAGAGTTTTCATTTTTCTCAGTGCAGATTCTAGGAAGACACACTTAAACCTCTGGGATGCTTTATTTTCACAGTTAAAATATTACAAATGAAACTTAGCATGAGGAAGATTGATTGCTTAGTTTCTATTATGAAAACTCAGAGCCAGTGTCTACCTATCTGTGTCCTATGTGCAGGGAGATAGCATCTTCCCTTTTCCAAGTTGAGCTCCAATACAGAAAGGCAAGTCCACTTTTATTTGCTCACTATTTCACTTACTTACTCGAAAAGATGATTGTGATAACATAAATCTCCTAGCCTAGAAGAGGTTCCTGGTGCCTTTATTTTTTAATTCTACCAGAATTCTAAAGAAAACATGAGATAAATTAAAATGATACTCAACGAGGAGATAAAAAATCATTCATAGCCCTGGGAAACACTCATTTTTCCTCAGCCTGGGTTTCCTCATTTTCCCATGGAGGTGATCATTCAGAAAGTCCCAGTATTTCTGAGATAACACAAGGAGAAAGAGAAGTACTGCAGAAGAGAAGGATGTCATATTCATAGACAAGGGTAATTGGTTGAGTATAAATAATACTTAGAGAAAATTCAAGTGACTTTACATATTTCATTTCAAACATTGCATATTTTGTCTTTTCTTCTCAGAAGCCTCTGAGTAAGAGCTTCTCTCTAACCACCTGTTAGAAACCGCAAGCCTGATTTTATGTGATTTGGGTCATTTGATGCAAAGTCAGTACATTTATAATAATAATGGAATTTCATACTGTTCTTCTTCCCAGGGTTTGATTAATTTTGACACAAAATGTTATAAAAAGTATGGAAAAACATGGGGGTAAGTATTCTGGAAATTTCTCTTTGGAAGACTTGTTATAATGTGGTGCCTCAATGTGTGAGGACAACCTCAGCCCAGAGCTTTTGGGATGCAACCCTCTGTGCTACAAAATCCTTGGAGGCTTGTCCTGCCAAGGGTCCTGCATGTAACCAGGAGTCTGGGTCTACAGTCTGACTTAGGTTGAGAATGTTGCATGTTTTCACTTTTCTCCTGCTTTTGATGACCCGGAGACTCCATCCTTACTTTGTGTCCAATGTCCTATCTTCCCCATTTGTCTTTCTTTTTGACCCCTTTAGCTGAATAAAATGTATTATTTGAGAATTTTTTTTTAAATCATGGGCTTACAAATCTATGGCATCATCTCTTTCCTCCATTGATTTCCTTTATTTTAAAGACAAAATTCCCTTATTTAAATTTCAGATTTAATGTACACTTTTGAACAAAAGGCTGGGAAGTACTGGGAAGCAGATGGGAAACCATTTCTGCTCATCTTTTTTTAAATTTCCTTTCTTTCTTCTTTTTATTTGTCATCATTATTGTTTCTCATATGCCATTTTTAAGTTTTCAGCATTGACTTTCCAATGAAGTAGACCCAAGAATTTCTTTCTCTCCTTCATCCATTATGTTAAGACCAGACATAGGATGTAGTTACACCACTGAGTTTCCTGGTGGATTGATGGGGTTTACATTAGAGGGTGGCCTTAGCTAATTTTAGCAACTATTCCCTTCAGAGCTGGTGGGAGTTTGGTGAGAGCCATAGAAGAGGTGTAATTATTTTGCTCTACACTAAAAATATTGGTAGAAGATATTGACTCTTCTCCATCTTCTCTCTTCAATCTCCCAAAAGCAACATGGCTGGCTAGAGTGTTCTGCTCAGTTGACATGCCCATAGATACCATGTGATCCAAGGACACAACATGCCCCACTGGATCTCCAAGGCCCCATTTCAGCTACCACTTGAAAAACTTAGTAATTATGAAAGTCAATTATCTGCCTTAATTTTTTTCTTCACTAACCTAATAGCCTTTTGAATAATCCAATATTTTGTTATGTAAAATGTTATATAGAATATGGGCTGAGGCTGGCTTACAGTGGCAGGGCGCTTGCCTATATCATGTGTGAGGCACTGGGTTTGATCCTCATCACCACATAAAAATAAACAAATAAGGGCATTCTGTCGACCTACAATTACAATAAATAAATAAGTTATGGAAATTAATGTAGGCAATACTATTGTATTCACCATCTAGATTTAAGAAGTGTTCCAATGCTATTTTTAATAATGATCTCTTAGAAGATGTATTTTTTCTATGTACTGTAGACTAGGCAGGTAGAATAGATAACATCAGGATCAAAGTCTGGATTTCTGCTGCAGAATCTGGCCTGTTACATTTAACCAGCCCTATTTTTCTAACACAGCCTATATGATGGTCGACAACCTGTTTGGGTTATTACGGACCCAAGCATTATCAAAACAGTGCTCATCAAGGAATGTTACTCTGCCTTCACTAACCGGCGGGTATGCATTCACTTTTCAACATTTTAACATTTATTTACTTATTTTTAATTTTTTAATTTATTCTTTTCAGTTATACATGACACTAGAATGTATTTTGACATATTATACATACATAAATAACAACTTCCAAAGCCTGTGTTTGTACATAATGTGGAGTTTCTCTAATTGTGTATTCATATATGAACATACGAAAGTTATGTCTGATTAATTCTACAGTCTTTCCTATTCCCATCCCCTCACCCTTTTCTTTGTTCCCCTTTGTCTAATCCAAAGTAATATTTATTTATTAACTCAATTTTTATTCTGAGATATTTATAAATTCAGAGGGCATTCTTTGCCAAAAAAAATTACCAGGCAGTTGCATGTATAATCTATTTTACCCAATGATAATTTCTTACATGACTATAAATTTACTGTTTCTTTTTCTATACTAACAGGAAATTGATACAATCTAGGCTTTTTATTTTCATTTTTCCTGTTTTGTGTGCCTATATGTATGAGTGTGCAGCTCTGTGCAAATGTATCACATGCCTACAATTTGTGTAGATAGATTTAGATTGCGTTTTTAATGTGTATTCACAAATTCTTCATTAACCTCAAAAATATGCCTGGTTTCTTGTGTGCTAACTACATTGGACAAAGATTCCACCTATAAATAGGGAAATTCCAATCTGTATTTATTTCATTTATTTATTTTTTTTATTTTCCTCTGATATTAGCTGGGAGTTCCAGTGTGAGGTTGAATAAGAGCCAGAGGAGTGAACATTTCTTTTGAAGCATATAGATTTTAATCTTCCAAAGTTTACCCTAATTTTAGATGAGGCTGATGTGTATGTGTGTGGATTCCCATACAATCTCTATCTTCACTTTTTAAAAACTTTGGGTGCTGGGTTTAGCTAATTTGGTAGAGTGCTTGCCTTGCAGGCACAAAGTCTGAGGTTCAATCCCCAACATCACAAAAATATTTTTAAAAACTTTGTTTAATGTATGACATTTGTGCATAATAATAGGATTTGCTGCTATGTTCAATACACACATATATTCCACTCTGCCCAAATCCAGCCTCTATTTACTTCCCAACATGTTCAAATCACTAATATACACTCAGATGAACGTTTTTACTTGTCTTTCTATATATGGCTGAGCAGACATTGTTGAATTATTCCTGATGCTTGGGAGAAAGCATTCAGTTTGCCACCAGCAAGTGTATTGTTAGCTGAAAGTGGATTTTTTAAGAATCTTTTTATCAAGTTGAAGAAGCTTCCCTCTGTTCCTAATCTCTTAAATTTTTATAGTGAATGAGTTCTGGAAACATACATTTTGGGGGTGGGGTACTGGGGATTGGACTTAGAGGCATTCGACCATTGAGCCACATCCCTGGTCCTATGTTGTATTTTATTTAGAGACAGTCTCACTGAATTTCTTAGCACCTCACTGTTGCTGAGGCAGGCTTTCAATTTGTGATCATCCTGTCGTATACTCATGAGCTGCTGGGATTACAGATATGCACCATCGTGCCCATCTGGAAGCATACATTTTAATTAAAAAATATATTTTAGATCATAGAAGTAAATTTCAAGGGTTTTGCTTTGGTGGGCAAGCACTTAGGTGAAAATCAGAATTATCTTTCTTTCTCCTTCTGCCCTTGTAGAAAATATTAAAAGAACTTCCATTAATAACTTGTTTTTTTCTGTATTACACTTATATTCCAATCCTTTAAATTTCAAATATTTGTATTTTTAAAATTATCATATCTAACCACCCCTTTTTCAAGATGCTTATGCTATAAATGCATGTAAAGACAGAACTTTTCTTAGGTAACATACAGTTGACCAAGAACACCTGGTATCTGTTACCAATTGATTTCTGCTCTGCACAGCCCTGGGGGGTTGTACTAGGTTTTTTTTAGGTATTATTTATGTCTATTCCCCTAGAAAAAGCTTTCAACAGAGTGAAAATTTTTCATCTAAACAAAGGTTGGAATATAAAGTCCAAAAACAGTGTGAGGTCCTTGGGTGTCTCTTCCGAACTCACAGGAGGTTAGGCACTTGGAATAAATACTATTGAGTGTCTGAAATAGGGCTAGCTACCTAGTAGGCAGTAACTAAACATTTTTTAAAATAAATGATGATTGTTTAACAAACTTTTGCAACTTTGGAGACCTCCACATTTATATAGGACCAAATCTCTTTTCCTTTGGATTTTAGAATTTTGGTCCAGTGGGATTTATGAAAAAAGCCATCTCTATGTCTGAGGATAAAGAGTGGAAGAGAATAAGAACACTTCTGTCTCCAACCTTCACCAGTGGAAAACTGAAGGAGGTAATAAAATAGGAGGGCTTTTCATTGGAAACTTAAAGAATAAATTTGGGGATGGGTAGAAAGTGAGATAGATAGTAGTCCCTTTCCAAGGGATAGCCCTCTGAATTTGAACTTCCTAAAAATGTTTTTTTGTCTTTATTTTTTAGAAGATAATTAGAAAAATTCATTATAAATGTCTCATACTTCTTTATCCTGGGAAAACCATAGCCTTGGGGACTGAGTCTCCTCACTTAACTATGGACAATCTTGTGTTTTGTGCATAGATGTTCCCCATCATTAACCAGTATGGAGATGTGTTGGTGAAAAACATGAGACTGGAATCAGAGAAGGGCAAGTTTATCAACTTGAAAGAGTAAGTAGCAGGGCATCTCTGGAATTCCAAGCTCCAGCAGGAGCCCCTCCGACTGGCTGACACAGAACTGAATTCCAACTGTTGAGCTAGTGCAATGAGCAGAGGAAGCAAGAGTTTGGAGTCACAACTCCAACTATTCATCCAAAAAGGAGCTGCTCCCAGGAGGAGACAGGGCAGCTGGAAGAGAAAGGATCTCTTCCTATCTGCCAAGGTTTATTTCGCTGCTATTTTTGACTTTGAATATACTAGAAGAAAAAATACTGTAAAGGTCAAGGTCACCTTTTTTGAGTCAGTACCTCCACTCTTGTCCTGCTGAAGCTCAGTTTGTACACAACTATCCATCATCCTCATTCTACTTTTGCTACTGTAGTGTGTCTGATTATGGAACTTATCCCTGTGTGGGTGAAATTCTTGAGTTCAGAGGTGAGTCTAACTCAACTCACTGCCCCCATCACTCTTGGCACAAGGGCAGTATTTCATTTGCAACTCATAAAGCCCTCATAGTCAGTTTGAAGGGATCATGGACTCATCTGATAGTCCATCAGATAACTGAGTGTGTGTGGCTCTCTGCTTGTCTTGTCTGAGTATGTGGACTTACTCCTACTTCTTGCTGCATGTGTAGTGGAAGGATTGGGAAGAGGCACTGATTTTACTTTTCCATGTCTTTCTCTATTCAGCATCTTTGGGGCCTACAGCATGGATGTGATCACTGCAACCTTATTTGGAGTAAACATCGATTCCCTGAACAACCCACAAGATCCCTTTGTGGAGAAAGTCAAGAAGCTCTTAAAATTTGATTTCTTTGACCCTTTGCTCCTCTCAATAAGTATGTGGACTACCATGCCATTCGTTCCTTCTCTCCATTTAAATAAGATCATTATTGTTACATAATTAACATATCTTTTAATTTATACACTTAATTTATACAATTAAATAGTTTTTAGTACAAAGATATATGCAGCCATCACTAGTGACCTTTTGTCAACTCAGAAGCAGGCTATCATTTCATTATCAACTCTCTATTTTCCAAGTCTAAGCAACCATGAATCTATTTTCTGACTATAGATTTGATGATACTGTGAATTTTCTATTAATGAATCCTACAATATGTGGCTTTGCATGTCTGACTTCTTTCATTTATCACTGTATTTTCAAATTCTTCCATTCTAAGCATGTGTGAGTACTTCATTTCTTTTTTTAGAGAGAGGGAAAGAGAGAGAGAGAGTTTTTAATACGTATTTTTTAATTTTTGATGGACATAACATGTTTATTTTATGTGGTGCTGAGAATCAAACCCAGTGCCCTGCACATGCCAGGCGAGTGCAATACTGCTTGAGCTACAGTCCCAGCCCTTCATTTCTTTTTTTTTAAAAAATTATTTATTTATTTGTTCTAATGAATTATATATGACATCAGAATGAATTTCACTAAATAATACACAAATGGAGCACAACTTTTCACTTCTGAACTTGTACATGAAGTAGATTCACAACATTTGTGTCATCATACATTTTTCTAGGATAATGATGTTCATCTCATTCCACCATCACTCCTAAACCCATCCTCCCTCCATTTCCCTTGCCCTATCCAAAGTTCTTTCATTCCTCTGATGACTGTCTCACCTATTATGAATCAGCTCCACTCATGAGAGAAAACCTTTGGCTTTTAGTATTTTGGGATTGGCTTACTTCACTTAGCATGATATTCTCAACTTCATCCATTTATTTGAAAATTCCATTATTTTATTCTCTTTAATGCTGAATTATATTCCATTGTTTATATGTACCACATTTTATTTATCCATTCATCTGTTGATGGGCATGTAGGTTGGTTCTACAGTTTACCTATTGTGAATTGAGCTGCTATAAACATTGATGTGGCTGCATCAATGTAGTATGCTGATTTTAAGTCCTTTGGGTATAAACCAAGAAGAGTGATAGCTGGGTCAAATGGTGGTTCTATTCCAACTTGTCTGAGGAATCTTCATATTGCTTTCCAAAGTTGTTTCACCAATTTGCAGTTTCACAAGCAGTATAAGTGTCTTTCCCCCCACATTCTCACCAACATATATTTTTGCATGTTTTCTTCAAAACTGCCATTCTTATTGAAGTGAGATGAAATCCTAGAATAGTTTTGATTTGCATTTCTGTAATTACTAGAGATGTTGAATATTTTTTCATATATTTGTTGATCAGTTGTAAATCTTCTTCTGAGAAGTGTCTGTTCAATTTCTTGGCCCATTTCTGGATAGGGTTATTTGTTGTTATTGTGAGGTTTTTTGGTGTTAAGTTTTTTTGAGTTCTTTATATATATTGGAGATTAGTGCTCTATATGATGTGCATGTTGTAAAAATTTGCTCCCATTCTTTATGCTCTATCTTCACCTTATTGATTGTTTCTTTTGTTGATAAGAAGCTTTTTAGTTTGAATCCATTCCATTTATTGTTTCTTGTTTTTATTTCTTACACTTTAGGAGTCTTAAGGAAAGTTTTAGCCTACTTTTTCTTCTATTAGGTTCAGGATCCCTTGCCTAATTTCTAAGTTCTTGATTCACTGTGAGTTAAATTTTGTGCTCGGTGAGAGATACTTAATTTCGTTTTGCTACATATGGATTTTTAGTTTTTGCAGAATCATTTGTTGAAAAGGCTTTTTTTCCAGTGAATGTTTTTGGCACCTTTGCCTAGTATGAGATAACTGTATTTGTGTAGGTTTGTCTCTGTATCTTCTGTTCCATACCATTGGTCTACATGTCTCTTTTGGTGCCAATATGGATTTCCAGTTTTGACAGAAGCATTTGTTGAATAGGCTTTTTTCTCCAGTGAATGTTTTTGGCACCTTTGTATAGTAAAATATAACCATATTAATGTGGGTTTGTCTCTGTGTCCTCTATTCTGTACCATTAGACTACAAGTCTATTTTGATGCAGATATTATACTGTTTTTGTTACTATAGCTCTGTATATAGTTTAAGGTCTGGTATAGTGATGCTTCCTGCTTCACTTTTTTGCTAAGAATTGCTAGCTATTCTGGGTCTCTTATTTTTCCAAATAAATTTTATGATTGCCTTTTCTATTTCTATCAAGAATGCCATTGGGATTTTAATAGGGTTGCATTGAATCTGTAAAACACTTTTGGTAGTATGGATTTGCTAGAACTTAATTGAGACTTATTGCATGTATGTTCATTAAAGATATTGGTCTGAAATTTTCTTTTGTTGATGTGTCTTTGGCTGGTTTTGAAATCAGGGTCTACTGGTGTCATAGAATGAGTTTGGAAGTGTTCTATTCTTTGCTATTTTATGAAATACTTTGAAGAGTATTAGTATTAGGTCTTCCTTGAAAGTCTTGTTAGAATCTGTCTGGCTGTTTCTCTTCTTTGTATGTAGGCTTTAGATGGTGTCTTCTATTTCCTTGCTGGAAATTGATCTGTTTAACTTGTGTATATTACCTTGATTCAGTTTGGGTAGGTCATGACACCAAAAATTTGTTGATGTCTTTGATATTTTCTATTTAATTGGAGTACATATTTTCAAAATAGTTTCTAATTATTTTATGTATTTTAGATGTGTCAATCATAATATTTCTTTTATTATCACAGATGTTAGTAATTTAAGTTTTCTCTCTCTTTATTTGTGTGACTAAGGTTTATGAATTTTATTTATTTTTTTTTAAAGAAGCAACTTTTAGATTTGTCAATTTATTCAATTGTTTCTTTTGTTTCAGTTTCATTGATTTCAGCTCTGATTTTAATTATTTCCTGTCTTCTACTACTTTTGATGTTGATTGTTCTTTTTTCTTTGGGGGGGGTCTTTGAGATGTAATGTTAGGTCCTTTATTTATTGACTTTTTCTACTTTTAACGAATAAACTCCATGCAATGAATCCAAAAGATTTCAATATGTTGTATCAGTATTCTCATTTACCTCTAAGAATTTTTAAATCTCCTCTCTGATGTTTTCTGCTATCCCTTGATCATTCAGTAGCATATTATTTAGTCTCCAGGTGTTGGAGTAGCTTTTTTTTCATTTTATCATTAGTTTCTAATTTCTTTCCATTATAATTTAATGGCATTCAGGGTATTATCTTTGTTTGTATTTGCCAAGAGTTTCTTTGTGGCATAATATATGGTCTATTTTAGAGAAGGATCCATGTACTGTCAAAGAAGAAAGTGTATTCACTCATTGATGGATGAAATATTCTCTATATCTCTTAAGTCTAAGTTATTGATTGTATTATTGAGTTCTATATTTTCTTGGTTTAGCTTTTGTTTGGGAGATATATCCAGTGGTGAAAGAGATGTATTAAAGTCACCCAGTATTATTGTGTTGTGGTCTATTTGACTCTTGAAATTGAGAAGAGTTTGATGAATGTAGATGACCTTTACATTTGGCCTTTTCATGTTATCCCATAATTAATTGTTTGGGCATAAGTATTTATAATTGCTATTTCTTGTTGATGAAGGTCTGGGTTTAGAAATCTGAGAGATTCTAATTGATTTCCTCCTATATGTAATCTGATTCCTTTGTCTTGTGGCTTTTAAATTTCGTTCTTTATTTTGTATGTTAAGCATTTTTATTGTTATTGCCTTAGTGTAGATCTGTCGTGATTTTGTACACTTGGTATCCTATAAGCCTTTTGTGTTTGATTTTCCAATTCATTATTCAGATTTGGAAAAGTTACTGATATTATTTCATGGATAAATTGTTCATTCCTATGTTTTGGAACTCTATGCCTTCTTCTCTCCCAATAATTCTTACATTTGGCCTTTTTGTGTTATCTCATAATTCATGAATGTTCTGCTCATGGTTTCTTACCATCTTCACTGTGTAGTCAACTTTACATTCAATTTTATATATTTTGTCTTCATTGTCTGAGGTCCTATCTTTCAAGTGATCCAGTCTGTTGGTGATAATTTTTATTGAGTATTTTAATTTGGTTTATTGCTTTTTTCATTTCAAGGATTTTTTTTTTTTTTGGTAGAATCTTTATCTCCTTATTGAAGTAATGTTTTGCTTTCTGTATTTGACTGTGTAGCTCTTTATTTAATTGACATTTTGTTGCCTATGTTTGCTTTCTTTAGTTCACAGAACATTTTAATTACATACATCCTGTACTCCTCTTGGACATCCCTTCTGCTGTTCTGGCCATTGGTTCTAGTAATGTATCTTGGTTTGTTTGGGGCACTTTCTTCCCTTGTTTTTTTCATATTGTTTGTCTTTCCCTTTAGCAGTGTAGATTCAAGGTATTACAGTTTTTACCAGTAGATTTATAGTGTCCCTGCAGAATTCCATGACCTCTCTTTTCAGGAGGAGATCAATATTAACATATCCCAATGCAAACAATATGCAGGCTTAATTAAACCAAATAGATTTCATTGAGATGTTTCTGTTTTGTCACAATAGACAGAAATGGTGAGTTTGATTATTATTAACAATATAAAGAGTAGTTTTCAAAAGGACCTACAGTTTATAATGATGGACAAAGAGAGAACTGGGGGCGGGTTTAGGATGAGATATTAAGGAGGTAGGAGATGAGGATATAGAGTTATTAGATCTTAGGAAACATAAAGGAAGAATCAAAAGATGTTGGATAGTAGCAGGAGAAAAGAGACTTTGAAGTGATAGATAAGTGGGAAGGGGAGAGAGAGGGAGAGAGGGAAGAAGAGGCTAGAACAACAAATTATTTTGTCAATATTCTGTTGAGATTTTGCATCCATAATTATAAAATATATCAGTTTGTAGTTCTTCTGTGTTATCTTTGTGTTAATTCTTAGGATTAGGTTAACACGGGCATTTTAGGATCTAATACAGTGTTCACTGTGTTCTACATTTAGAAAACAATAGATATTTCTATGAATGTTTGTAAAGAAGTAAAGAATTGGTATTAGTTCTTTTAGTCTTTGATAGAATTGTCCATGAAACATCTGGACCTGAGCTTAACTTTGTAGAAAATTTCTTAATTTCTAACTTAGTCTCATCACATGATGTATGTCAATATATATTTTATATTACTTTTTGTGTCAGTTTCTGTTGTTTGTGTCTCTTTAGGAATTTGTCTATTTCATTTATGTAATTTATATAATTATTTTGATAATCTTATTGTTACAATATCTTTATATTTTTTTCTATATTTATAATTTCAGTATTTTCCCAGTTTTTATTTTGAATGCTACTAATAGTAGCCTTTCTATTTCTGGGTCAGTGTAGCTATTATTTTGCAAAATTTGTTGGTTTTATTCAAAGAATTGCATTTGTTTTCATTAGTTTCTTCTATTGATTTTATTTTTTATTTGATTAGTTTTCACTTTGATCCTTAATATTTTTTTCTTCTGTTTCCTTTAAGTTTAATTTGCTCTTCCTTTTATATGATTTATTGTGTAGAGTTTGATCATTCATTTGTGACTTTTGTTTTATGTAATAGATAAGAATTTCCCTCTGTACAGTGATTGCTTTTTCTCCATTACACAAATTTTACATATTATGCCTCTTTTTTTCCTTTCAATAATTTATCTATTTCACTTTATATTTATTCTTTCATCCAGTGTTTATTTAGGTGAATATTGATCAATTTGCCCATACTTTGAGTTTTCTAATTTTCTTTATAATAATGCCTTCTGGATTCCTCCCATGTTGCTTGAGAAACACATGCTCTGTTTGTCCCATCCTGACTGCTCTTTCTTGAAGAGCATGATTAACTGCAGCATCAGTCTAAAGCCTAGTTTTATCCAAAGACATGCTATTCCAGTACACGAAGGGGAAAAGGGTCAGAGTTTTCATCTTGCTCTTTTGGTCACTCCACAGAGATAGAAGGGACCACTGATTTCAGTGGTATGGTGCTGGCCCTATATATGACATCCTCTTGCTCAGCCAGTAGCCTGGAGCCCAATCAGTTGTCCCAGCAGAAACAGTTTTTCTTTAGAAACCCTTTTGACTTCCACTTTTCTGATTGGTAGAAAAGATGTAATTGCTTCAGGTAAAGTTTACATTTTTCACTGAAGTGTCCTTTGTTTTTTTCTTTTCCCTGCAGAAATCTTTCCATTCCTTACTCCAATTTATGAGGCAATAAATATTTCTATGTTTTCAAAGGATGTCACAAATTTTTTAAAGAAAGCTATTTACAGAATGAAAGAAAGTCGCCTTCAAGAGAAACAACAGGTAAAAACTGGTGGTGGATACAGAGGAGGTTCATTCTTGATAATTTATTTGCCTATGGGTGTATGACTTCTATACTTCTTTGTATATTTTTAAAAGGTAGATAAAGAAGAACTCTTGGTTGAGAGTAGTAGAAGCTTTCCATTTGGGGAGAATAAAGAATTTAGCATCTGGTAATTGAGAAACAAGAATGAATCAGAGAGGGAACTGAATTAGAGTAAGATATATTCCATGCTTTTATAATTATGTCAAAATGGACTCTACTCTCATATAACTAAAAATAACTAATAAAATAGATTTAAATAAATAAAATTATATATTCCAAATACTGAAAAAATAATGAACCAGAGAGAAATAATTTACAATTAAATAATGGACATGGTAATTAGTTTGTCAAGGCATAAATATTGCTGATAGGAAAAATCTCAAATGCTATAAAAAGGAGTTATTGTACATTGTTGAATAGATTTGTAAATTATGACAGCCTTTATGGAAAACTGTCTGGAGGGCCTTCAGAAATCAAATACAGACCCACTGTATAATCCAGCATTCTCAGTACTAAGTGTATAACCACAGGAAATGAAATCTGCACTCCCATGTTTATTGCAACACTATGCTAAAATTGTTCTTGTTAATTGAGCCAAATTAATTTTGAAAATATTCACCACCAGGAAATGATATATGCAGTTAAAGATGTGTCTAAACTGACATAAACATCAAACAGCATATAAATATATCAAAGTAATAGGGTACCTTGTTAATATGTAGAACTTAATTTTTTTTATAAAACTTAGGGTTTGCTCTTTGAAATATTTATTTAAATAGAGGGAAATATTTTATCATATTCCTTCTCCTCAATAGATACAATTTCAACATAGTTATTTTTCCTGGTGCTTTAATTTTATCAGATTTTATGTGGTCAAGAATCATTGCATTTCCAAACCTCTCACTTTACAAACTCTCCACAGAATGCATCCTCAGGCTATCTGGCACTGTATGGCTCCTCATAGAGCAGGCATGGGGTTCTTTAGGTGAAGGTTTTGCCTCATGTACAAAGCATAGCACAAGGATGTGTGCAGGCCAGGAATCCAGGATGGGCCCTCCAGGTGTCAATACAAAGTTCATAGCTTCATTCATGGTGGGATCTTTCAAGAAGCTTGCTCAAAATTTGATGGTGAACTCTAAAAATAGAAGGAGATTAATTTGTGATGTCTTTGGTGAAGAGTAGTGCAGTCCAGGACTTCTCCCTGAGCAAATAAATGTAACAGGAGACAAAGCCAGCCACTTTCTGGCAAGGAGGCTGTGTTCAGAATCCACAGGAGCTCACAAGCAGGGAGAGCAAAGGCCAGTAGCTATTGAACACCATAGCCTCTTTTCACTCAGGGAAACGTCCTTCTGTCCAAAGTTTGTAGATGAATGCTTTTTTTCCCTGATGACTTAGGAAACTCCAGATGGACTTTGTACTTGAAGAAGTCATAGCCTCAGAAGGGAAAATAAGTTCTACACTCTTAATTTTTTTCTGACTTCATAACTGATCTTCTATCTTTGAAATATCTATGTTTCTAGCATCGGGTGGATTTTCTTCAGCTTATGATAAATTCTCAGAATTCCAAAGATGTGGAGTCTCATAAAGGTAAACAAGGTTGCTATGTCATCTACTGATGGGGAAACTCAGAGGGAAGGATTGTTCTAGAAATGTGCAGGAGATTTTCCAGGAAGAAGAATATTTCTACAAAGTTGCAGAAAGTGCGTGATTGGATATCATATACAGTAGCCTGAGGAACTTTCTAGAGAAGCACACCTAGAGCCATGTTCAATGTTGAATCTGATTTAAACAAGTATTTCTTTTACCAGCATGGTATTTTTATTCAACTTATTTTTTTACTATTTTTATTTTGATTCTCAATTCTTTCAAATTTGTCCACTGGAATCCCTTTCATGTAGGCTCCTGAGTCTTCTATTATTATTGTCACCTTTTAAGTGATTGTTTTAAAAGTAGCTTCTGTTTATTCTGGCCATAGAAATATTGAGCTGAAAACACAGAGGATCTTCATGTAGTCTTGAATACACTGCTTCACTCCTAATATACACCACCAGAGAGTTATATTTATCACAGTTAAGGAACCTGTGTTGACACACTTCTATCATTTACAGTCCACAGATTTTCTTAGGGTTTGCTCTTGGTCTTGTACATTCTATGACATGTATCCATATTATAGTAGCACACAGTGTATTCTGTGCCCTTTTCATTTATTTTCTAAGTATTTTCTTGCTTTCTAATTTAAGATATTCTAGGTTCCTGCTCTGTTTCCCCTGACAGGTTTGTTTTTTGTTCATCCAATTAATTGAATTTAGAAATCATAATCTGTGATCATCTTGTGAATTTTTGCTTTTAGATACTCTCAGTAGACAAGATTATTAACATGAAATTCTTCTACATAGAACAGTGGAAAAAATGTTTCTGTGTCTAGTAACATTCAGTAATATAAACTATTTTTCTCTCTTCTTCAAAAATTTTTTCCTAATTTATTGCTTATTTCTGTAATACACAAATACTCTCTTTGCAGTTCTAATTTGAGGTACCTAGTGCCTTGACAACCATCTGAAAAAAGTCCTGAATGTTGAGCAATAAACTCTAAAGATGAACACTTGGCTTACTACAGCCTGACAGTATACATATTTTTTAAAAAGATATTTTTATTTTTTAGTTGTAGGTTCACACAATGCTTTTATTCTATTTTTATGTGGTGCTGAGGACCAAACCCAGTGCGTCACTTGTGCTAAGTGAGTGTTCTACCACTGAGCTACAACCCCAGACCCAGTGTACATATTTTTATGTTCACATTTACATATCATCTATCTATCTATTTATCTAACTAACTATTATATATATATCTGTCTTTCCATCCATCCATCCATCTATCCTGAATGTATCTACCCAGTTCTATTCAGGTTTCTAAGATAAAGAAAACAGTCTATAGTTTAACTCTTCAATGAAATAGCCACCAAACACATGTGCCTACTTAGCACTTGACATGTGGCTAGTGCCACTGAAGTATATTGATTTTTAATTAATTAAAATCCAAACCCCAACAGGTGGCTGGTAGCTATAAATGCCAACATTCAAGCTCCAAATCTTGACTTTTATTTGGTGCAGTAGAGACGGTTACCAGAAATTGAACTCAGGGGCACTCAACCACTGAGCCACATCCCCAGCCCTACTTTGTATTTTATTTAGAGACAGGGTTTCACTGAGTTGCATAGTGCCCTGCTGTTGCTGAGGTTTGTTTGAACTCATGATTCTCTTGCCTCAGCATCCTGCAGGGATTACTGGTGTGTGCCAGTGCACCTGGCCTGAACCTTGATTTTATAGTCCTGTTTCATGGGGTTCATACTCACTGGGATAAAAGTTTTGATAAATAAATGTTCTCATGACATCATCATAGAAAATCATAATCAGTAAATCTGAACTCTGTAGACTATTCAAACACTTGTTTTATGTATTCTTTTTTATCTTGAATTGCATGTTTGGCACAGAGACCATGTTTATTTCAGGGCCCAGGTAATTAAAAGTTCATATTGATCATACTGTGTATCTTAGATAAAAATAGTATCCCTTGAAATTACCTACCTTTGGTGGTGCTGAAAATTGCACAGTTAGTAGCCAAGTCCAAGAGTGGTGTAGACCTCAGGAAAACTGGATTAAAAAAAAGTTTTCCTTTGTTTCCCCTATTGAATAGACATGAGAGTAAAAACAACTCTGAGAATGACCCTGAATTGCTTTTCCATTGTCCTGCCTAGTGATCTGTGGGTTTTTATGGAATTTCTCTTCATCTGAACGCTGATTTTGTGATTTGCTGGATTTACCTAAATTGTGTTTCCTCTTCCATTAGTCCTGTCTGATCTGGAGCTTGTGGCTCAATCGATTATCTTCATTTTTGCTGGCTATGAGAGCACTAGCAGTGTTCTTTCCTTCATTTTGTATGAACTGGCCACCCATCCTGATGCCCAGACCAAACTGCAGCAAGAGATTGATGCGGCTTTGCCCAATAAGGTGAGAAAATGGTACCTGGAGAGGGAGGAGAGAGGTGGTGCCTCAACAAGACTCCCTTCTTTTCACTTCCTAGGAGGCTTCATCCAAAATATAGTCACTGATTCTTTTCACCAGCTCTATTGGAAAGGTTCTGAAGAGAGAAATGAAAGGGAAAACACAGTATTGACGGGAAAATGCTATTCTCAAAACTACAAGGAATTTTGAAAAGAGTGTAATTTCAGTAGTACTCATTACCAGTTACCATGATGATACCTAGAAAGTGTAAGCACGTGTCACTCAAGTGTCCAGATAATTGGATCTGATGAACTGTGGCAAGAGCTCCTGCCTGGCTGTCTGCTGAGTGAGCCTGGTCTTGGTGGGCAGGCCGACTATGCTGTGCTCCACACATCTTCACACTCTAGTCATGTAATAGAGAGAATCAGCCAAGGGATGAGTCAGGTTTTCTGGCTCCTGAGCCAAACAATTTACTTCTACCTTGTGTCCTCTCCAATGTCACATCAGGCATTAGCCACGTGTTGTGCCTGCTATCCTCACACCTTTTCCTAAACAGGGAGTCTATCATATATGAAGACACATGGTTTTTGGGGCTGGCATGGCTTGTTTGGCAGTGAAGTAGGCACAAAGCCTCTTCTTCACAGCTCACAATGAAGCCCTGAAGAACAACAAAGAGACTGGTCCAGAAACAGAGGGTAGGGCTGAGAGTGGTTTTCTGTCCTCCTTAGAATGTTCTCTGAAACTAAAATTGTGTGACATGGTGCCATTGAATCTTAGCCTTCTTTTGGTGGTATTAGGGTGGAAGTTACCAGTTTCTCCCAACATTTTTTACATGATGTAGTGTTATCTCTAAGTATATATATTCAAAGCAGGATTATTAGAAAAAACAGATGTATAATGGGTTATTTTCTCTTTTCTATGTTCTATTTCCCTGAAATAGGCATGTGACTTTTCTAGAGAAAGGTAACAGTGACTTTCACATTATTTTGCCTAAATGTAATTGTCATATTCTATTAGTTAATTTTTCTTACATGAGAAAAACTAGTACATGATGATTCTGAGGATATTATACACTGAATTTAGTATTGTCGCAAAGGTCTCTTATGTATATGGTTGTCAAATGAACATGATTGTTATTATAATGCTTAGTCAATTGTAAGCACTACTCTCCTTCACCATTCTGTTATTTTTGGGACCTTGTAATACTTTAATAAAACTATCTAGATTGAGTTTAAATTTAGTTCCAAACATGCATTTCCAAAAAATATATTTTTGTCTCTTCAGACACCTGCTACCTATGATACCGTGTTACAGATGGAGTACCTGGACTTGGTGGTGAATGAAACTCTCAGGTTGTACCCAATTGCTGGCAGACTTCAGAGGGTCTGTAAGAAAGATATTGAAATCAATGGAGTTCCCATTAGGAAGGGGACAGTGGTGATGATACCAAGCTTTGTTCTTCACCGAGACCCACAGCACTGGCCAGAGCCTGAGGAGTTCTGCCCTGAAAGGTACAGGGCCTCTGGGAAAGGGAACTTCCCTGGGCTGGGGTTGTCTAAGCATGTCCTTGTATTTCTTATCAGAGATGACATACAGGTAGCTATGTAATCATTTTTTATTGGTTGTTCACAACATTACAAAGCACTTGACATCATATTTCATACATTAGATTGAAGCGGGTTATGAATTAACAATTTTTACCCCTAATGCAGATTGCAGAATCACGTCGGTTACACATCCACAGTTTTACATAATGCCCTATTAGTAACTGTTGTATTCTGCTATCTTTCCTATCCCCTACTATCCCCCCTCCCCTTCCCTCACATTTTCTCTCTCTACCCCATCTACTGTAATTTATTTCT